GTCTCTGTAGTGTTGCATGTACAGTTTATGTGTATAGGTGATATATATGGCTGAGTGTGCAATATGTAATTTGGGGATTTTGGTAAGTGATTTGCCGGTTATCTGTGTGGGTAAGTGTGCTCGTGTATTTCATTGCAAGTGCACTACACTCACGCGGACTCAGGCAAAGCTTATCACAGATAATGCAAATGTTCTATTCAAGTGTAGTAATTGTCTGTCAGATCAGAGTTGTGACGAGCAGAATGTATCGGTTTCGGATACCAAAATGCTGGGGGAAGCAATGAAGCAATTGTCTTCTGTTGCTGACTCTATCACTGGTATACGAAACAACGTTGCTGCTCAGATAGACAACGCGTTGAGAATTGGCATGGAAAAAATGCAACAAAATATGAACGATTCTTTAAGTTGCTTTGAAAAATTAATTAGTGAGAAATGGAATACGATGACTAGTTCATGTTTTGAAATTAGTACGGAAAAAAATTTAGCTGCAACGAATAGTGCATCTAGGACGGTTCATTCTGAATCGGACCGAAATCCCAGACGCAAAAAACGTAAATTTCAAAATAGTGACAACGATTCGACTGATGATGTTTTTCAAGAAAATGCGAGTTTTGCGGATGTTGTAAAAAGATCTAGTCATGCAAGTAAAAGTAAAAATATTAGTAACAGCAATAGTAACATTAACAGTAACAGTAACATTAACAGTAACAGTAACAAACAGAGTAATCGTAAGACTCGTCCGGTCATTGTGATCAAACCAAAAGAGTCCAAACAAGCTTGCGAAGATACTCGTAAGTTTTTGAAAACTCAGTTGGATCCAAAAACACACAAAATCAGTAATTTTAGGAATGGTAAAGATGGCTCTATTATTGTTGAGTGTGCAACAGGAGCTAATCTTAATGATGTAAAAACTGGTATTGAAAGCAATCTGGGTGAACAATATAGTGCTGTTGTTCCCACTTCGGTGCCAAGATTGAAAATAGTGGGCATGAGCGATCAGTTTTCCTCCGATGTCTTCATTGACTACTTAAAAAGTCAAAATGAAGACATCGCTATAAATGATGTTAAAGTAGTGAACATGTTTGAAAATCCACGCTTCACTTACAACAAGTTTAGTGTTGTAATTGAAGTCGATGTCGATACTTATAAATGTTTGTTATGTGCGAAAAAAGTAAATGTAGGGTTTGATCGGTGCTCGATAGTTCCCGCGATTAATGTGTTGAGATGCTTCAAATGTGGAGAATTTGGGCACAAGAGCATGGATTGCAAAAATTGTGATAGATGCTCTAGGTGCAGCCAACAACACAAAACGTCGGAGTGTACGTCAACTGTATTGAAATGTATTAATTGTTTGAAAACGAATAAAGAACGAAAAATGAACTTGGACGTCAACCATGCCGCATTTAGCTCGGAATGTTTGCTTTATAAAAGACTTTTTGATCAGAAGAAAAGCAGCTTGCGTTTCAATAAATAGCAGCCAAGTTCCAGGAATGTGAATCAATTCGATTTTTTATACTTGAATATTGCGGGGTTGTCAACAAACTACGTAGCATTACGTCAGATTGTTGAGGAAAAACGTCCTCTTTTAGTTTTATTATCTGAAACTCATATTGTAGAAACTGAAGCTTTTGATCAGTATAGTATTCCGGGATATATTGTTGCTGCTTGTTTATCACATTCTAGACACACTGGCGGTGTTGCTATTTATGTCAAAGAATCAGTTCAATTCAACCTTCGTACCAACGAAGTTATTGATGGCAACTGGTTCTTGGGCATTACAGTTGTACGTGGCATGAAGATGGGTAATTATGGTGTTTTGTATCATTCTCCCAGTTCTAGTGACCAGCGTTTTGTTGAAGTTTTAGAGAACTGGTTTGAGACATTCCTTGATTCTAGTAAATTAAATATATTGGCTGGTGATTTTAATATTAATTGGCGTGATAACCATAATTCGAATCATTTGAAGCGTTTAGCTGAGTTTTTTAATTTAAAGCAAACTGTAAATGAGTATACGCGTATTTCCAGGCACAGTAGAACTTTAATTGACCACGTTTATTACAATTTTAATTCCATTTGTTCAGTTACGGATACTGATTTGAAAATAACCGATCATGAGACTTTAGTCATTAATGTCTTAGACCATGTTAACGATAACGATAATTTTGTAAAATTGAAGTGCTGGAGGAAATATTCGAAGCAAGCTGTTTCAAACCTTGTTGAGAGAAGCCTGGATTTTCCATTCGCGGACGGTAACTTAGATGAATCTACAGCTGTTCTTAATAACGCTTTGAAAACGTGTACCAATCAACTAGTTGAGCAAAAGTTTGTTTCTTTGAAAAACTCGAACAGCTGGTACAATTTGGATCTTTTGCGTCTTAAACGGAAAAGGGACAAATTGTACAAAAAGTTTTGTAGATCTAATAATGACAATCATTGGGCTAGGTACACAATCGCGCGTAATAAGTATTCACAATCGATAAAGAAAACTCGTTGTGAATATGTTCAAAGGAAGATTGATCAGCATCAAAACAACAGCAAAGAGTTATGGAAAATTTTGAAATCTTTATTAAAACCTAGTAATTGCAAACCGCGGTCCATAACTTTTAATGGCACATTAGAACAGTCAGAACAAGTAATTGCAGCTAAGTTTAATGATTATTTCGTAGATAGCGTTTCATTGATTAATCAATCTATTGAATTGGTCGATGAACCTGACGAAATAAAACAGCCAGTTAATAGTAGTTGTAGATTTGAAGTTTTTCACCCAATCACATTAGATGAACTTAGAGTTATTTGTTTTTCATTAGGAAAATCGGCTGGAGTAGATAATGTTAATGCTAGAGTTATTCAAGATTGCTTTCATGTCATTGGCCACATCTTGCTGGACCTTATTAATGAATCATTACAAACTGGACATGTGCCACAAATTTGGAAGGAATCCTTAGTGGTCCCTATTCAAAAAGTTGCTGGAACGATTAAAGCCGAAGAGTTTCGTCCCATCAACATGTTGCACACATTAGAGAAAATTTTAGAACTTGTTGTTAAAGGCCAGCTGTTGGAGTATTTAAATAGTAATAGTTTGTTGATACCAGAACAATCGGGATATCGGGAAGGTCATTCTTGTGAAACCGCGTTGAATTTGGTATTAGCGAAGTGGAAAAATAACTTGGAGTGTAAAGATACGATTGTTGCTGTTTTTTTGGATCTTAAACGCGCTTTTGAAACAATTTCTAGGCCCTTATTGTTAAGATCAATCAAGCGCTTTGGAATTACGAGTACTGCATATAAATGGTTTGAAAGCTATTTGTCTGACAGAACTCAACGGACTGTTTTTAATGATTCTGTTTCCAGTCCCGTGGGGAATAACCTTGGAGTGCCCCAGGGAAGTGTATTAGGGCCCCTGTTATTTATTATGTATATTAATGACTTGCGACGTGTTTTACGATTTTGCGACATTAATCTTTTTGCAGATGATACTGTGTTATTCATTGCAGCTAAGGATTTAGATGATGCCGTTTTACACTTGAATGAAGATTTGCGTTCTCTAAGTAGATGGTTGAAGTATAAGCAGTTAAAATTGAATACAAGTAAAACTAAATTTATGGTAATTTCGCGAAATCGAGTAAATGAGAACGTCTCTGTTGTAATTGATGATGAGACTATTGATCGCGTTCGGGAGATTAAATATCTTGGCGTGATTATTGATGACACACTTAAGTTCAACTCTCACATTGACAATGTCATCAAGAAAATTGCCAAGAAGTATGGAATTCTATGTCGACTGAAAAACGATTTAACTATTGCCAGTAAAATACAGCTATACAAATCAATCATCTCTCCTCATCTTGACTTTTGCCCTTCCATTTTATTTCTGGCCAATGCAACACAAATATCGAGATTACAGCGCTTGCAGAATAAAATAATGCGTTTGATTTTGAGATGTAATAGATTCACTTCCTCAACTTTGATGTTAGACGCCTTACAATGGTTGTCGGTGAAGCAAAGAATTGTATATTTGACTATGGTGTTCATTTTTAAAGTAGTTAACGGTTTGCTGCCTCGATATTTGTGTGATCGAATTGAAAGAGGAAGTGACTTTCATAGATATAATACTAGAAACGCGGTTGAAATAAGAACACCACATTTCTTGACTTGTGCTTCACAAAATTCATTATATTATAAAGGAATAAATGTTTTCAATTCGATGCCTAGACATATCAAACGTTTAGCAACACTTACAGAATTTAAAAGACACTGCATTTCACACGTTAAAACTGTCTTTTGAACAGTTATCCAGTGATTTTTTTATGAATTGACAAATTATGTATCTTGACGAAGTTATCTCTAACGGATTATTTTATATGGATAGCTGTCATAACGACTTTTTAATAATTATTGTAGCACTGCAAAAACTATTTCTGTTCGCCACGAGGGTGATGATGGATTTTTAATATATGATTTTATAGTAGATTAATTTAAAAAAAAAAGTAGTCTACAAAGGTTTGAGCCTCGCGCGCGTATTACGGATATAGAGGACTGAATTTAACATTTGATAAAAAAAAATGCAATTTTGAAGCTTATTTGGAAGATACTTTGAGTTAGTAGTAAGTTTTCTGGCAAATGTCGGGGGTTCGTGAGCATTCCTGACATTGCTGAAAATTATAATAGCATCATTGCGGGGTTGCTAGTGTATAGGATGCTTTGTTGATTGTTCATTAACTCTTGATTGCTTGTAATACTTATGAATATTTTAGGTGGACAAAAAGGCGAACTAAGAGGTGGACGCCTGAGCTTTTCCACATTTATATCGCTGTGAAGCAACTGTAAACTTTAGAGGGAATCTATATCTGTAACTGAAACCAGTTCGATTTTGTTTGCCAACCTGGTTAAAATGTCATATTCAATTATCTTAAAGATAAATCGTCCAGCTCAAACCTTTGTAGGGGTAAGAGGTGGGACCATCATCATCATCATCATCATATCCTGTCTTCTATTTTCAGGAATAATTGACAAAGTTCATTACTGGAGCCACAAAGTTGCAGGTTCGATAAAGAAGATTCTAATCGGTCGCGTGCAGTATGGCACGTGCGTGAGCCACCGCAGTAGGGCTGCAGATTTCACACCATCATCAATAGCAAAATCGGATAGATGTTCCGTGAAGATATCCGCTCACACGCCAAGAGCCTGGTGATAAAATAAACCGTAGTACTCGCTCCGAAACACCTAGCGTGAGTGCGTGAGAGAGCGCCATTATCATCATCGGTCCGATCTGCTCCACCAAGAGAGCGTACTCCGGGCAGGACTCCACCGAGCAATCACTCGCTCCCGTTCACGTTCACGGCTGTCTACTGTGGACTGTGAGTGAGGATGTCCAGCAGCAGAACCGTGCTCCATCACCGAAATCAGTGCTTGTCGTGATCGCAGAGTGTAAAGTCGTCTTCAATTGTAGGAGCTCCGTTTGGAATACTTGGTAGCCACTTGGTAACTGAAGCCGTGAAGCAGTAGGGGGGCCGTAGAATAATGTTTAATGACAATGTGTGTGCAAGGTGTTAAGCGTGTAATTTACGGTCATACTTGAAATATTTGTCTAATTGAAGATTGAAGGCGGCGCGCGACTCGGGTGTGTTGCTTCTTAATAAGCAGTGTGGGTGCGGGTGTCAGTTTCAGTGGTCCTCCCCCCCCCCCTCTTCAGCATGCAGTGTAGTGTCTAGGAATCTCGAGAAACGAAGATAAAAAAGGTTTTCGGGAAAATTATCGCACGCAGTGTCGGTTCGGTGCAAAATATGAAATTGCCTCCGTTCGGTGCGAAATTTGCGAGATAATAGTCCAACAAAACGGCGGCTGCAAAACACGTTGCAGCTTCGGAGAAGAAGTGCAAAACGGTGAAAATTCACAGCTGTGAATTAAAGTTACGATCGTATATCAAAGCGGAAAATTCGATACCGTTGTTGGGTGGGCAAAATGCGCGTGTTTTAGTGCTGAGATCTGAAGCGGGAAATTCAAGAAAATTGTCGGCGTAAAAGCTGCTGTAGAATCACCGCCGTGTTTGAATTATGTTTTTTAGAGAATAATGAGGAGAAACTCGAATAACGTTTGCGAAAATGTGAGTATGGTTTCCTTTTTTTATAATCGAGGAATGCTTTTTGAAAATTGTGGTACAATTCGATTAGGTTAATGATTTCTATTCACACGGTGGATACATATTAAGGTGCAATATAATTTAGTGTCAAACCTTCTTCTTTTTCGACGTATTGTGGAGAGCAGACGTTTTTTTTATTACTCGTATTAGGTTACATATCATGATGACAGCAGCATCGATAAAAACTGGAGACTCATTCAGAAGGCCGAATCGAAGCGTTTTTCGTATGAAAACAGTCGACTTGGTTCCATAATGTGGCCCCTGGATTTTAATTTCTGGAAATTAAATTGCACCTGTGGATGTGCCCGACGTTGTGATAAGCATTCATACTTCTCACGGTAAAGGTTACGAGTTCAAATCTCATCCCAGACAAGCCTCGAATGGCATTGGCGGAGCTAATAGGGGTGCCACCCCCTCTAGAATTATCTAGGCCACCCCAGGAATTTTGAGTGTTTTTAATACACCGGTATTTTTTCAAGCAGTTTCAAGGTTAATTTTCCTTTTCCTTTGGTTTGTTTTCCAACGATCTTGTTTTCCGTGCTGAGCACCAATGCTACCGATGCCAGGGAGGCAGCTTCCATACCTGGACCCTACCTATCGACCCATCAACTCATGAACCAGGGACCAACGGCTTTACTTCCCTTCCGAAGGGAGAGAGATGAGATGTTATGCCTCAGAACATCCCGGCGGCATCGACTGGGACTGAATTCAGGCCTGCTGGGGTGAGAGGTTATCACGCTTACCACTACACCACCGGCGCCGTTTAAGGTTAATTTTTATTTTTATTGATTTTTATGAATGCCAAGACTAGAAAAAACAATGTCGAGAATTTATATTATATCGATAGCATAATAAGACGACTTCAGTCTCTACAACTTGGCCAAGAGCTTAGGGATTTTTCTTTAACCTCGGGGAACTTCGTAAAAATTTCAAGTACTTCAATGAAGTTTAGGGAACATCGTAGAAATTAACGAAACGTAGTAGAAATTCTGAGAACTTCATAGAGTTTCAGTAAAAATCCTAGAAACTCAGGGAGCTTCGGAAAAGTTCAGAAAACTGCGTAGAAGTGGGAACTCCATTCAAGTGGTGGTATCTTCGTGGTAGTTAAACGATATTTAATATCAGGGAACCTCATTACTGTTCGGGAATCTTCATAAAATTTCAGGATACTTGTTTGAAGTTTCAAGAGTTCAAGAGATTCCATACGTGGAACTTCGCGAAAATTCAATGAGAAACGTAGAAGTGAAGCAAAGTTTGTAAAAGTTTTGGAAATTTCGTAGCATTTGGAGAAGCTGCATAAAACTTCATATAAGTGCAAGGAATTATGTAGAAGATCTAAAAATAGTTCAGTAATAGTAATAGACCTTAATTCAAGGATCCTTGCTTCAATTTAGGAAACTTCGTTGCAGTTTGTAAGAGATCTTATTTCTCGAATGATGAATCTAGATTTTATGGACATGTTTGTACATTTCCTCAAAGGAAGACAGGTGATTTTTGTTTTTTATTTTTTTGTCAAGAATTAACACTCCAGGATAGTGTGGATGGTTTAAAACATTGAACAATGATTAAGTATGATCGCTTTATGAATAATTCCGTCCCTGAAACGATTATCACTTCTAGTCGAACTTCAACAATGAACTCCTTCGTGATTGACCCATGTTGGACACCGGGACGCACGCCTGCCATATGTGTTATGGAAGCCCCTAATTCATCCATCACAGTCGAGTCATTCCTGCCAGCGACCTCCAGCCGTCCCTGTCCTGTGTTTGGATTTGATGAAGGGGTCTTCCAAAACCCTATCTCAGGCAAGTACGACATTATTTCGAACAATCCACTTCCTGAAATGTATTATGCCTACAGCCGATCATTTCCGATAAAAGCACAACCTGCTTTATTCAACTCGACACTCGGACGCACACTTGCAACTAGCCTTGTGGAAGCCCCTGATCCTATCATCGCAGTCGAGCCTATGCTGCCAGCGTTCAACAGTCGTCCCAGCCCTGCGTTTGAGTTAGGAGAGGGGGTCTTCAAAACTCCAACTGTAGGCAAGTATAATCAGCAAGCAACAACTGCTCTGTCTGAAAAATTATTGGTTTCCAGAGTGCCATTGTATATGTCTGCTCCTCGACATTTGTGGTCTGAAGATAACATTAACAGTATACCAGCCCCACCATACCAGAAGCCGAGACGCTCCACAGAAAATTCACCGGAAGAAGCATTCAGATCCTCTGATCTAGTCCTGCCGAAGATTGACGACTTACACCATTATGATGAATCAACTTCTGTTTGTTTACTGGGACGCACTGCCGTTGGCATCATGGAAGCCCCCGAGCCCCCCGCCACAGTCGAGCCATTCCCGCCAGCGACCTACAGCCGTCCCGGCCCTGTGTGTGGGCCTGGTGAAGGGGTCTTCCAACCACTCGTTTACGGCAAGTATGAACTCGTCCATGTGAATTCAACTGTTGATCCGCCACTTCGTTTCAGTTCATCTTCGCTTATGGCCACCACTTCGAGCCTTTCTACGTCAGGTGATCTTTCGCTGCCTGATAGTTCACCGTTCTCTCGTGCGGATAATGGACAAGTTATCATTGACACGGCTCGCACCGAACCCTCTAGCGGTTTACGTGTCTACTATCAGAACACCAGGGGGCTCATGACTAAATTGGACGATGTTTATCTGGCTGCGCTTGACGGGGAATATGACGTTTATGTATTCACGGAAACTTGGCTCGATGGGAGGATCAATTCAGTGCAACTGTTTGGTGACTCTTTTACTGCCTACAGATTAGACCGTAATTCATCCAACAGCATTCGTACTCGCGGTGGTGGTGTGCTCATCGCTGTTTCCAACGAATTCGCCTCCTGCGTAATCTCCAACGAACTATTTACTACAATTGAAGCGGTTTGGGTTAAGGTCAACCTCACTTCGCGGGACATCCTCATTGGAGCGGTGTATATTCCCCCTGAACGTCGACATGACTGCACCACAATGCAGCTTCATCTGGATGCTACAGAATTTGCATCGTCTATGGCTGATATAACGGATGTGCTTCTTCTGCTTGGTGATTTTAATCAGCCTGGGCTTAGCTGGTCACCCTCAGGCCAGGGTTATGCGTTTCCAGATCCGATTGCATCTTCAACTACTCCTGCCAGCCGCTTGCTTGACGGCACGGCTTTTCATGGACTGAGCCAGATAAACCTTGTTCCCAATTTCCAGGCTCGTTTTCTTGACTTGGTTTTTGTTAGCGAAAGTGCACTTCTGGACTGTGTCGTCGTTGAAGCGCCTGATGTCATCGTTCCTCTTGACAATTTCCACCCTGCTTTGGATATATCTATCGCGAACGGTTCTCAAATTCGTTTTGATGAAACCATGACTGCCACTCGGCTCAATTTCCGGAAGACCGATTTCCGTTTGCTGAGACGTTCCTTGTCCCGGATCAACTGGAACGTGTTGAATGACCTTGATATCGATACAGCAGCCGCTCGCTATAATAGCCTTTTGCACGACTGTGTTTGTGCTTCAGTACCGAAGTGCCAACCTCCAAGAAAACCGCCTTGGTCTAACGCTACTCTCCGCAACCTGAAACGAGTGCGATCTAGAGCTCTCCGTGCTCTCACTCATCGGCGATGTACCCTTACCAAGCGAAATTTTTTAATTGCCAGCAATGATTATCGCCACTACAACAAGCTTCTTTACAAGAGGTATGTAATTCGTACTCAACATAATCTGCAATGCCACCCCAAGGGATTCTGGTCGTTTGTGAATACTAAGAGGAAGGAAACTGGACTGCCGTCAAAAATGTTTCTCGGCAATGACGTAGCATTGACAACTGAGGACAAATGCAGCCTATTTGCTAGGCACTTCTTAAGCGTCTTCTCGAATGACTCCCCATTGCAAGCAGAAATTGAGCGAGCCGTCCGTGATGTGCCAACCGACTTCGTAAACATGGATGTTTTTGCCGTAGATGTACAAATGGTTCTTTCTGTGATGAGTAAAACCAAATCATCATTTTCACCAGGTCCGAGTGTTATTCCATCTGCAGTCCTAAAAAAATGCTCCGATATCTTAGCTGCTCCGTTGTCCTTGCTCTTCAACCTGTCACTTCGTCAACAGAAATTTCCCGCACTATGGAAACGGTCTACTATGTTCCCTGTTTTCAAGAAAGGAGACAAACGCAATGTGGAAAACTACCGTGGGATTACCTCGCTTGGGGTTGAATCTAAGGTGTTTGAGTCGCTGATAAATGAGAGATTGTTTGCTTCCTGCAAGCATTACATAAGTACATGTCAACATGGTTTCTTTCCTGGCCGCTCCGTGGAAACTAATCTCGTCAGCTTTACGTCGTTCTGTATGGAAAATGTATGCAAGAAACTTCAAGTGGATGCCATCTACACTGATCTTAAAGCTGCGTTTGATAGAGTTGTGCACGACGTTCTGCTAGCAAAGCTTGAAAAAATTGGATGTTCTGTTTCCTTCTGCAGCTGGCTTAGATCGTACCTCGTGCAACGTGAAGTTACTGTATGCATTGGAAACTACTCATCGTACTGTTTCTCGAATAGATCAGGAGTTCCACAGGGTAGCACTTTGGGACCAATGCTCTTCTCTTTATTTGTGAACGATGTAACGTTTATTCTACTACGAGGAGGTAAATTGTTTTTTGCCGATGACTTGAAGATTTATCTAGTCGTTCGAGGCTATGCCGACTGATTAGAACTACAAAACCTTCTTGAAATCTTTAATGATTGGTGTGAACGTAATTTTATGGTCCTGTGCGTCTCAAAGTGCTGCGTAATTAGTTTCCGTCGAACTAGGACTGCCATTTTGTTTGATTATAACGTTGCTGGAACTGCAGTTCAACGTGTCGATCACGTTAAAGACCTCGGTGTCATGTTGGATGAAAAGTTCACATACACTCGCTACTTCTCAACCACGATCGACAAAGCTAATCGACAGCTTGGATTCA